ATTATATGGTGCTGTGTCCCCGACAGCCAGAACACATGGGTCCAGGAACCAAGGGGTAGAGTGGAAGTGGCCCCTGTCACCATCACTGCCAGGGGCCCACCTCAGGAATTTGTGCCTCCTGTCCTCACAATTCTAGACACTTGTGGACTAGAAATCCTGGTTCCTGGGGGAGGATGCTTCCACCGGGAAATACAATAAAGATTCCCCTAAACTCTAAGGGTACAGCTGCTGCCTGGCCATTTTTGGCTCTTTGTGACAGTAGACCAGCAGTCAGAGTAAGGTCAGTTACAATCAGAGGTTATTGACCCTGGTTAGCACGAAGAGCTAGATCACTGCCTTACAACGGGGCAGGAAGGAGTATTCAGGATCTAGAATGGGATTCACTGGGGTGCCTCTTGGGGCTTCCTGCCTGGTAATAACCACAAACAGGAAGTTGCAGCAACAATGGCCTGACAAGGGCATGGTGACCAAGGGTTCAAACCTCTCAGAAATGAAGGTCTAGGTAACTTCACCAGGAAAGCAATGTGAACCAGCCGACCAAGATGGGAGGAATATAGGATAGGTAGTAGAGGACGGAGATGAGAAAAAGCATTTAGCGTGTTAGAACCAACTGCAGCAGTGGAAATCAGAGTTTATACCACTTGCCCTCCAGGTGTACTTTTTGTTTGTCTAAGATATTGTGACCAGCCACCATCTTAAAGAAGCAATACCACACCAGAGTGAACTCCACATGGAGCATAAGTGCATCTGAGTGATACAAGGGGTGGGTTATCGCAGACACCGTGATGCCCTGCCCGTATCCTTAGCACTCACCATTCTGGCACATGCTAACCATGTTCCACTACAAGCATAGGGGACGTTTCCTCAGCCCCATGCATGGAGAGGCCAGAGCGCCGAGTTAATGCCCCCAGGAACAGCCCTTAGTCAGTGACGAATGAGAGTTGGAGGATGCTTGCCCCAACTTCCTTACCACCTGGGTGGGATAACTGAGATAGGCTCTATATCTGTGCGTCTCCAACTTTAACATGCATGTGCATTGCCTGGAAACCTTATTAACATGTAGACTTTGACTCTATAGGTCTGGAGTGGGCCCCGAGATTATGCATTTCTGATAAACTCCCTGGAGATGTCGATGATGCTGGTTCATGGACCACACTTTGAGTTGCGAAGGGTTACACTTCCTCCCAGAGTTTCTCATTAAGACTGTGCCTTAGTTGCCTGAAACTCTCTTTCATTAGCTCCTTTCTGTTCTTTAGTCCCCACTTGTTTTCAAATCCTGTTCCAGGTCTGCTCCTGAGGGACCTCTACCTAAGACACTGAGGGACTCGCATTCCTGCTTCGCCCTTTGCAGCTGAGCACCACATGAGAGTCCCTGGATCAGAGAGGGAGCCTGTGCGAGCATGGGCGCTGGAG